TAGGTCACTGTGGGTCCCCTCCCATCACAGTTACTGTGGAATGTCGATGCTGCCCAGCCGTCAGTCTTTGCGTGCCAACACCTTACAAACCTGCTACGCTCTTTACTGATAAGGACTGGGTCCAAATACGAAAACAGCATCTTCAAGTACTTGTTGTAATCAAGGCTTCGAAGTATGTCAGACAAACCGAGACCTGAGGAGGGAGACGAAAAGTTAAACTTACAGTTAGCAAAAGGAATGGAACAACCCTTATAGCTTTGATTCGTGGAGTCACCTAAAGTGGATAATTTCATCACCCTCGTTTGGCCCGTGAAATAATCTCTCACTACTGATCTAGCAAGTTAAAAAATTCCTAGCTTATCTACCAGGCGACATTATAGGCGATGGAGAGAGAATCTTTTTTTGTCAGCTCAACTGCTCTTTTAAGTGGCTCCACCGTCTTTCTTTTCATCTAATACCCACAAGCCCCCGCGGCAGCTCAGACCAGTCTTCTCAGACTCGTCACGCAACGAGTTGTGTGACGAACTTAAAGAATTGCTGCCAAAGAGACCGTACAAGCGAAGACATTTCTTTGAAATTGGAAAAAAGGTAAGCTATTCGTTCTCCAGCAACATATCTTTTTGAGAATAATTCTACATTCCACAAATTGATTTTGCCACAGGTCTTATTAATTATTTATCTTTGAAAAGGTGTCTTTTTCTTAATTACCTGTTTCATAGAATACTTCTATGTCCGTTGGAGAAAAATTAGACCCCCCTGTAAAAAAACCACAGTTTCCAGTTGAGTACCCTGAAGGCGTCGTGTACGTGCAACCGCATCTAGTGTGAGAGTTTTGGTTGTTTCCAGCGTTGTTGGATATGAAGATGTCGTGACCACAACCACCACCAAAAGTGGGTCCATAGGAGGAACATCTGTACATCGCATATTGCTGGTTTCGGTATTGCGTCAACTTCACAGCATTGTATCCTCTGACATTATAGAGAGAGAAGGTAAACGCCTTACTGGAGGAAGAATAACGTGCGCAAGAACCAGCTGAAATAGAAGAACAATGTAGTCGTGCGTTGGAAGTTGGAAGAAAACGTAAACCCCCCTGAGGAGAGGGGGTTCATTTTCTATCATAGACTAGACGGGGAGTTTTTCCAGGCTTGATGTTTGTGAGTGGGAGGGAGAGATGTTACGAATTTGGGCATAAAAACTGTTACAAAATACTTCAATGGACATGGCAAAATATTGGGTGACATCAAAAGCCCATTAATGGGCTCCTGGTAACATTTGTTTTAAATTTTTTTTTTCGTACCCAGGCCCAAAATTTTATCAAAAATCTTTTTTAAAATAGCAAAATGTAAAATTACCCAAAGTTATCTGTTACTTTCTTCAGATGTACGCACAGATTTAAGTCATTTAGCTATTACTTGATCTATAAATGTAGAAATGTATCCGAGAACTAAAAAAAATAAATAAATAAACCTTGTAAATCAGGCTTCGAAAATATTATTTCCGATAGAAAAGATGAATTCCAAGCCCGCTAGGTTGAGTGATCACTCTGAAGAAAAGCGAGTAAAACCTAATGAGACTTGAAGGAAAAGGACCCTTTGATCTTATCGTTGTCATTACTAGACGTTTGATCTTGGTGTTGTTATCACTAGATGTTTTTGGATGTAATCTTGTGCTGCACGTGTATCGACTAACAATCATATCCATGGACTATATATGTGTGAAGACATCCTGATGGCCAAAATACCGGAGGGGAAGAATGATTAATCCGATAGAATTGTTTTGTCTCTTCTTAACAAACTTAATATATATATCTACCTCCACCCCAGGACACATCAGTATATCCACCAAAGATGTAGTTGTTCACTTTGATGATTGTCACTGTGGGCCCCCTCCCATCGCAGTTGGTGTGGAATGTCGATGTCGCCCAGCCGTCAGTCTTTGCGTGCCAACACCTCAAAAAGTCAGTGCGGGATGTACTAGGAAGAACTGGGTCTAAATATGAAATCAGCTTTCCCAAATATTTGTTGCGGTCCAGGCCTCCAAGAATATGAGATGCACCAAGGCCACCTGTGTTCGTGAACAAAACTCGAATGTGAACTATAATTACAGACGTCATAGAATAAAGAAAGATGTTATTCCTTTTTTCACCGCCGTGGGAATTTTACCACGAAGAATCGAGCCCCAGATCTTCTTCTTAAATTACGTCAGTTTTTTTTGTCTTAGGGTTGGAGTCTTCTCATAACATATTGTCACCATGTATTTGACCGTACTAAATTCTGGTTTATCTCAGGGGCGATTATATGAAACTATTTATAATTTCAGTCACCTTCGGTTTTCATGTCACAAGGAGCCAGAACAGTCTTCGTGGGTACAATCGAAGTAAACCAGTATTTGCCGCTGACCGCTTGGCCTCCTTCGCTCATTTTGATTTCCTTGCAAGTCTCTGCAGGCAGCTCAGGAATAGACCCGAGAGGGACTAAACAAGAAAATACACATGTACAGTAAAAATGTCTCATGTAGCTACTGCATTATTGTATCATTAGGTATCGATGTTAATGCCATTTTGGGTCGTAAAGGCTGTGGTTATCCATATTGGTAAAAAACAATAAGATTTTTGATTTTTTGGCTTTTTCTCTCGGTTTATTCTCCACCAATATGGGTGGCGACCAATAGACTGCTTTCTGCTTGTCTTCCTTAGGTCATTTGGCTGCTCTGGTTACCCTTCTCCTCAGGACGCAACTACTCCGCTGTGATTGGTTAGTTAGATTTATAGACCGATACCGATACAAGTTGATGAATTTAACTTCAATAAATAGACTGATTTTAAAAAGGAAGGAAGGCTCTGTAAGATTCTTATGCCCCTCTCCCCGTAATTGGTAGTTAATTGGAAGTCAGTTTTCTCTTGTTCCCCCCCCCCCTTATACTCTGTTGGTCACCACCCCTCCCACCCCCAAATATGACGACTTGTCCCTTAGAAATGACTGAGGTTTAATTGCTTAAAAATGAAAACTTCCAAGAGCTAAAATTGTCAGAAATTTATGGCAGACAGAGGGGAGAATTTACCCCTGGATCTTGACTTACCTTGACTTATGGTAACACACGTCCCCCAGGGAAGCTCCCGTAATCTTCTTGAAGATGTGACGTTGCAGCATCATACCAAGTTTGGAGACTTCGCCCACGCTGCATTGTTGTGCATTAGCACTGGAGAACACCTTACATATTAAGACTACCACTGCTATGTAGTAGAGTTTTGGAAGGATCATTCTCTTCAGAGCTGCAGCGAAGGTGGCCTGAATTCACAAAATATGTTAAAATATCGTTGAGGTTGGCAACGCTGCCCCTGGTAACGTTAATATTTCAAACGGTTGATAAGTCCCAGGACCTTATTTGCCCTAGATGTGATTGTTTCAATGTGTGGTGACCACCTCATTTTGTTATCGAGCATTACCCCCAGATAAGGGTGAGATTCCACTTCTTCTAGGATTTGTCCACAGAATACGTATTCTCGCTTTGGTGGATCTCTCTTGGTTGTAAAACACATGATCTTACACTTTGAAGGATTAAATTCCATCTTCCACGTTTGTTGCCAGTCTTCTAATCTATACAAGTCCTCTTGGAGATCGGCTGTGTCTTCATCACAACAAATTGTCCCATATAACAATGCGTCATCAGCAAAAAGTAGATTTAAGAGTATCAGGTAAGTCATTTATATACATTAAGAACAGTAGCAGTCCTAAGACTGTTCCTTGGGGAACACCAGATGTCGTAACTACAGGGGCAGATGATGCCCCCTCAATTACCACTGATTGGGTATGCTGTGTTAGGAAACGTTATCGTAATACAAACAAAATCCTTCCCCCTCCCCATAGTATTTATGAGAGATCTGCATAAGAAGAAAACTGAAGAGAACTTTTTTTCGCGATAAAGAAAGATTAGTGTAGCTAGTTCCTTTTTTTTTTCTTTACTGTTTTTGTTTTTCAGTTCTTTTTCGTCTTGTTTGATTTTTGTTCATTTCACCGTACGAGTAAGTTTTTACGTCAGTTTTTTTTGTCTTTGGGTTGGAGTCTTCTCATAACATATTGTCACCATGTATTTGACTGTACTAAATTCTGGTTTATCTCAGGGGCGATTATATGAAACTATTTATAATTTCAGTCACCATCGGTTTTCATGTCACAAGGAGCCAGAACAGTCTTCGTGGGTACAATCGAAGTAAACCAGTATTTGCCGCTGATCGCTTGTCCTCCTTCGCTCATTTTGATTTCCTTGCAAGTCTCTGCAGGCAGCTCAGGAATAGACCCGAGAGGGACTAAAACAAGAAAATACACATGTACTGTAAAAATTTCTCATGTGGCTACTGCATTATTGTATCATTAGGTATCGATGTTAATGGCATTTTGGCTCGTAAAGGCTGTTGTTATTCATACTGGTAAAAAGCAATAAGATTTTTGATATTTTGGCTTTTTCTCTCGATTTATTCTCCACCAATATGGGTGGCGACCAATAGACTGCTTTCTGGTGTCTTCCTCAGGAGGTCATTTGGTTGCTCGGGTTACCCTTCTCCTCAGGACGCAAATACTCCGCTGTGATTGGTTAGTTAGACTCATAGACCGATACCGATTGAAGGTGACGAAGTTTAACTTCAGTAAATAGACTGATTTTAAAAAGGAAGGAAGGCTCTGTCAGATTCTTATGCCCCTCTCCCCGTAATTGGCAGTTAATTGGAAGTCAGTTTTCTCTTGTCCTCCCCCCCCCGTATACTCTGTTGGCCACCACCCCTCCCACCCCCAAATATGATGACTTGTCCCTTAAAAATGACTGAGGTTTAATTGCTTAAAAATGAAAACTTCCAAGAGCTAAAATTGTCAGAAATTTATGGCAGACAGAGGGGAGAATTTACATCTGGATCTTGACTTACCTCTGTTCAAATGTCGTTTGAAATAATACCGCTCCGCGTTTGGAACGTAATTTTCGGGTCTGGCCTCCTTGGTGCGGTTTTCTAATTCACAAATGTTTTGAGTGAAAACGTAATTGAAACTTTGACATCTGACGTCAGCGGCACACTCATGGTAACACACGTCCCCCAGGGACGCTCCCGTGATCCTCTTGAAGATGTGACGTTGCAGCATCATATCAAGCTTGGAGACTTCGCCCACGCTGCATTGTTGTGCATTAGCACTGGAGAAAACCTTACATATAAAGACTACCACTGCTATGTAGGAGAGTTTTGGAAGGACCATTCTCTTCAGAGCTGCAGCGAAGGTGGCCTAAATTGACAAAATATGTTAAAATATCGTTGGGGTTGGCATCCCTTCCCCTGGTAACGGTATTGATTATTGTCTATCATATAACTTATCTTGTTTTCGTGCCAAGGGCTCAGTTACGATCTTAGATACATCGTTAATATTTCAAACGCGCAATATTAGTTTTTCAAGATTTAGACAACCAGTAAAATATCCTTAAAAAATTCTGAATGCACAACCAACCTCTTTAACTTCGTTTTTACCTCAAATAACTTGCTTTTAATAAAATTCATCAGAAACGCCCTGTATGTTGAGAGAAGGAAGCGAAAAACACGCGAGAATGCACAAGAACGCGCGAGAATGCACGATCACGTTAAAGATGCGCGTGAAATTAAAGGGATTCTGGCCCCACCTTTCTCGCACGCCTTTCGCTTTCTTGAATACACTCTCGAATTTCGATCATTTAGTCGAATTTTTTTAATCTGAATCAGTTTCCTTTCGATTAATAATTCAATCCGCATTTCAGACCTCTGGATCTGCCATAGGATAAAAA